ATGAAAACCAGAACGTGAAAATTTGTTAGTTACATGTACCATAACCCAGAAAAGTGACACTATTCTTAGAATCCTCTACGGTTGCAATACCTTAAATTTCTATTGCATTTTGTTTGAGGCTGCGTTAGTCTTGTACGGTTGCAATGATATTTAACTTTAAGTTCTTTTGAATTCTGTACGGAATTGCGTTCAACTTTATCTTGTACTGTTGCAATGGTAGCTAAATTAAATTTCTGCTGAATTTCGTTTGGAATTGCGTTAATACAGTTGCAATGATATTTTAACTTGCATGTCTGCTGAATTTCATTTGGAACGGAATTTAATTTGGAACGTTGCAATCTATACAGTTGCAATGATACATGTATCTAGCAATGAATTTACGGAATTGCATATATCTTTGTACGGTTGCAATTAAGTTTCTGCTGAATTTTAGCACGGCAAATCCCCCCCCTTTTCCCCCACATAACCTTTACTGACTGTAGTAAATGTTCATTGATAGGATGGTTGCCCCCCCCCACTTTATAACCATAATATATTGATATCAAGGATTGTAGGGAAAAAATTAGAAGTGATAGTAAGTTGGCTTTGAAAAAGTTGGCCAGTACACGAAATAGGAAGTTTGGGCAATTTATAATTTTCCTTTTTTTTTTTTTCTTTTGCTTGTCACCTTTTTCAGGTAAGTTAAAAAAATTTTCTCTGGTTGGCCCCCCCACTTTCAAAAACGATGCTACGTGCCTGATTTGGAATTGATACAAAACATAAATTTCTGCTGAATTTAATTGGGAATCGCGTTAATTTCTAAAGTTGCAAAAATATCTAACTTGAATTTCTGCAGAATTTTGTTTGGAATTGCATTATAAAATTCAGTGCATAAACTTCCTATCTTCATGTACCTTTATCCTGTGATAAAATTCTTGAAAAATTACAAATTTACATGTGAAAACTCCTTATATTACATTTTAAAAAATGCTATCTCAGCTATCTCCCATTTGTTTTTCTCTAGGTCCCTTCACTGTGTTTGCCCCTACCAATGACGCCTTTGCCAAGCTTCCAAAGAGAATTGTAAATGAATTAAAGAAGAACAAAGAATTACTTGTGGCAGTCTTGAAATACCACGTTCTTAGTGGGAAGACATACTCCTCTCAGCTCAAAAATGAACTCGTGGTTCCAACATTAGATCCTACTCTGAACTGTAGAATTAACATCTACCAAAACGGCAAGGTACTAGTATACTTTTGTGACATTCATCATTGATACCTATCTGTTTGTTCGATGCCTCTTAGAGCAAAATCTTGCAAAGTGAATCTTCACTTTCAGTGATTATTGACTTACTTGCCAAAATATTTTAGGTTGTAACAGCAGACGGCAGTCCGGTAGTAATGGCCGATCAGAACGCTACAAATGGCGTCATCCATGTCATTAACCGCGTGGAGTTCCCCATTCCTTTTATGGATGTCGTGAAAACTGCCCAGAGACAGAGCGAGTTAGGGACATTGGTGAAGGCAGTGGTGGCAGCTGGGCTTGTTGACACCCTCTCAGGTCTGTCCATTCTTAGATTACTCAAAAGTTTTGAATTTCTTCATTGAAGACTTTGTGTACAGGTTTTATTGGCGTTTTTCTATCACACAGGCCCTGGACCATTTACAGTGTTCGCGCCAACAGACAAAGCATTTGCAGCCCTTCCTCCAGGAACACTGGACAACCTTCTCAAGAACAAAACAGCACTTACAGGTAAGCAATGCGCATTAAATTAAAATTATTAGGCAAGAAATGACATAAATAGATTACCTCTAGATACCTAAACAAATTGTTAACTTTTCCTGCAGACGTTCTAACGTACCACGTGGTTAGCGGAACCTATTTCAGCGCAGGACTCACTTCCGGGGCTGTTCCAACTGTTGAGGGGAAAAGCGTCAACATTCAAGTAGGACAAGGTAAAATATGACTAGAATAAGCACGTGGTATTGGGGTATTGAAAAGGGGGGGGGGGGCAAAAGGACCCCTTCCAACTTCTTCCGAAAGTAATGTTTATCTATTTAAATATTAACAGGTTCTATTTCTACCTACGTAGCGAAAGTAATGTTTATCTATTTAAATATTAAAACAGAAATGCCTGTCTCTCGATCCCATCACAATGACATAATCGCATTTTGTTGCAATTTGGTAAAAAAAGGCTACGTAGGTTGGACTGGACCATCTTTAATACAGAAATGCCTGTCTCTCGATCCCATCACAATGACATAATCGCATTTTGTTGCAATTTGTAAAAAGGCTTTCTTGTCATTTCTTTTCCCTGTCAACACCCTCCCTACATCGAAAAACGATGTTATAATTACGTGCTTCTTTAAGAGGGCACGACCTGTTTCATTAAATTGCACACTGGTTTTGTCAATTTTCTCCATAAAACATATATGTCCATCCATTGTAGGTGTCAAAGTTAACAACGCCAATGTAGTTGTGGCAGACGAAGCAGTAACAAACGGTGTCATCCACATTATTGACGCAGTCCTTATCCCGCCAAAATACAACAGTAATGGATCTGGCTATAGATTCCACCCGTAACGGGGAATTAGATAGGATTTTTCTATTTTCATTCATCACATTTTGATTATTTTTTCATTTTGTAAATAGCTATACTCCCTTCATTAATAAAGGTATTTTGTATAAGAATTTTATCTTGTATTTTATTTACATATAATTATATCGAAATCACAGAATGAGGGAATTCTGACTGAATGAGTGGTTGTAATAAAACTTTGTTAATAAGAGTGCTTGGTTTGGAGAAAATCCTTTCATTGCTGCTTTATTGGTTTCAGAGAGGGTAAAATGGATGTTTATGCAGAACAAATTATCTATGTAAAAGCACTTTGAAATGTCGTTTTCTTTTTACCCTTTCCTTCTTGAAAATACATATAGCTCCAAAAAACTATTGTGTAAAAAAATGTACTATAGTACCATAAGCGGTTATGGAAGTCCTCAAAGGAGCAAGGTTACGCTAAAAGGTTATGTCACCAGATAAGACCATAGTTATGTGAAGTTGTTGTCACTTGACCATCATCCTCATGTGTCTGTTGACCTCGTGACCTGCACAGTTACTTATAGACAGGACAGAATGTATAATGCAAAGCAAATACAGTTAAACCTCATTATGTCGACCTCGACTGGACCAAGAACTCGAAATATCACGGGTTAAAAAAATACTTGAAGAAGGGGTGGTTGGGACATCTAAATCACTTCGATACATCCACGGAATCCGATATATTGGAATTCGAGATACCAAAGTTCAATTGTACTTCAAATACTAAGTACGAAAAATGTATATCTTTCTGAATTTCAATCATATCATAAACTTGAAATGCTATATATAGCATCCCTATCAAAATATTTTAACCAGAACAATGTATAATACATTTATATGCATAAGTCGATTCTGTAAAACCTCCTAAAATGTTCCTAACAGATGCTCATTAAGCGGAATCAAGTTGGAATCAGTTTGTTAAAATTTGGGTTATTATTCCACGTAAAGATAGCTATTATTTTAGCGATGTACTTTAAGGTAAATCAAGTGAAAAGCTTAGTAGCCTGGGAATGTTTATGGACGAATCATAAAATTGGACAGAAGATACAATGTCTTTCATTAGAGTCAGTATTTTTGCCATCCACCTCATTGTTCAGATAATAAAAAAAATTTGTCTTCTATTAATGAAAATTGTACTTAACCATTATTTACCTCTATTGACCTTTAAATTTATTCAGACCTTTAAATTTATGAATTTTCAAAAAAATTCATTTTAAAAAAGGTGAAACTACATTGGTGTCGGAAGCAAATTGAAAAAAAAGGGGGGGGGGGTATATGAAAGAGAAAAAAAAACAAACCAGAAAAAAACTTGACAAGCAAAAAAAAGAAAAAAAAGGGGAAAGTTTGTCGATTGTCTTAACACGTAAAATCTTATTTCGTGAAAGGGGGGATGGGTTACGTAGGATCGAACTTCTTGCAGTACCAAATTTTTCTTTCAAACACTACCACTTACTCTTCTTTGACTATACTGCAACGTGCCTGTTGACAGTTGGGGGTGGGGGGTAAACCTACGCCACAATGTTTGATACCTGTATGAAGTCTATCCTTGCATCTTGCAGAATCACATTATCCACCAATACTTTTGTTTTGACTTGATAACACATCTTTTACAGTTTTATTTTCAAATTCTGCACAGAAATACGTAATTTACAATGAAAGGAAAACACCTGAACTTTCTGTGGACATATAGCTTTGTTTGTTTGTATGTATGTATGTATGTATGAATGTATGTATATCTATTGTGACACGAAAATGGAGTTTGATCATAGTAATTCAGATTCTAAACAGGAAAGTCATACAAAAATGCTACCTATCAAAGTTTCTGATCCGCCTGTCGTTTTGTTGCGACTTTTTGACCAATGGACAACACACAATGCATGACCCCAATCAAAATCCCCATTTTTACCACAATGAAATACTAGTATCTTGTGATCAATCTCACCTCTTGTACTCCAACTAGGAGTTTCAATGACTAACTTTCAGTCTCTCAAAATGACCATTCCTTAGATGAGGAATAAGCTTACCTATCAGATATTTGTCAACACAATTTTACAGTTTTGTTAAATTTTAACCAAAGGCTTTAAAATATATGTCCCTCATTACTACAAGAGTGGTCAGATTCCATAGATAAACTTAGTATTGTGGAGAGGTGAGGTACTTTGTACAAAATTACAAGACAGAATTGTAAGAGTTATCTTCCTTACCACCATAACAACATGTTACTTGTTTTATCCATATCATTCCACAAATAAATTTTTTTCATAGTAACATGAAATATCTTCACATGCTTTAAGCAAGTCTTCTTGTACTAAATTGAGAAAACGACACTGCTTGGAAAGAGTTGTGTACATTTCTGACTTCTTTCCACACTATTACTGTTCATTTTAAATCTTACATATTCCAACAACCTAAATTATAACAGTACATTTACAAAACTCTTTAATGTTCATTACAGTACAAATATATACATTGTTGTATCTGAGTGAATATGAATCAACAACAACAACAACAAAAAGCATAAAAACATCGCAAATAAATATTGTCTGCTTTGTAGAATACATTTGATCTCTGATTACTTCAAGCCGGTAAGAATGGAAGAAAAATCTGCTTAGAAGAAATCTGCATTTGCTCAACAGTTCTCTCTTGAGTTGTATTTCTACAGGAAGTAGGGTCTCAGGGCTGCAGCTTCATGGTTCATTTCCTCCTCAGTTCGGAGGTTAGAGGTCATATCTTCATCATGGTGAGCCAGCTTTCCAAAAACAACAAAAAAAAACCATACTGTAAATCACTTTTTATTTGTGAGAACATGATTCACATGATTATGTGAGACCATTCAAAATGAGTATCCATCCAGCTAGTGATGCCAAAAGCAAATTTTGTGGCCAGTAAGAAGTTTCCAGACTCAATTGTTCAGTGCCAGATTAAGATAATACAATAGTGACTTTACCAATGTTACCAATACACAGATGATAGATATCTCAGATTAGTATCTATTGAAATGCTGCAATGTGCTTGTTTTGAACAAGGAATTAAGAAAGAGCTCACCTCTCTGTAGATATCATCATTATTAGGAATATCTGCTGGCTTCCTTGGCAAGATGTGAACATGGACATGCTGCAAGGAAAATAAATAGTGCACATGGTTATACATGTATTACCTGCAAAAGTTTGTGCCATAATTCATTAATCATGTGCCATAATTCATTAATCAAAAAAAAAACTGCTCTTAAACATGTGCTGCAATAAGAATAGACTGGTAATCCTAGAATTTGAATGTAATATTTTCTCAGACATCTATGACAAATTGTTAAAGCCCATTTTATGCACTGTCTATCATCAAATATTTTTAAACTAGCAGATGGATTAAGGTGAAATGCATATTTCTAATCTTTCCAGTTAATGTTCCCTGGAAATACAACTGAAATCATTTCTTGTACTTATATAAGATATTAAGTTAATGTGTTCTTGTTTAACATTTATCCAAAATAACAAAAATCTGTCAACATAAAATGGCTACCTCAACAGTTTGTCCGGCATCCGCTCCATCCTGCACAGCGATGGTGACTGAGGTTCCATTAAAATGTTTCTCTACAACCCTGCTTACTTTCTGAACACAAAGTGACAGATCTGCTAACTCAGCTTGTGTGAGGTCACTGAAACGTTTGACTGGACGAAGGGAAGATACAAGGACATATGCACCGAAGTCAAGGAACTTACATTATCAATACATGCACACAGAGTTGAACCACTGCAAATGATTTCAATGTAAAGGTTCTCTAATTTTGCAGTTACAATGTATACCTTATCTTGTAGGTCTACATTAATTCATTTTAAATTCAAAGAAGAAGTTTATATAAGTTTAAAATAATTATGAGGTACAGTTACACATCGTCATCTGAAATCAATGTGCCTGATAAAAAACTTTCAAATATGAAGGTAATATTCTAAAAGATTTATTATAAGTGATTGGCATTCATTGAGACTTCCAGACCAATTCAGCATATCCATGATATTCAAGATATCAGTGTTTGAGATACTGAAGTTCAGCTGTATAGTAAGTTCGATTTTAGCCATTCATTTAAAGGATACGACCAGGTAGCACTGGTTTAATGTTGACAAATGCAAAACTTAGAGCAGTTTTATAAAAAACTTGTCCACATCCTACAGCATGCTGACCAAACTGATAGTGAGGGGTCCCATCTATATCTCCTGTAAAACAAGTCTGTAATGAAGCATCAATGAAAAAACAAAAAGCACAGTTTCTACATTGAAAAAAGATCTTTACAAAAGTTTCTAAAATGTTAATATTCCTTATACATTGCATCTGTCATCTGAATTGGCTTAATATTTTTGAGTCACTCCTCTTTACTGTTTATTAATAAAATGCTCTAACAGACTAACAGTGAGCCAAACCTTTGCTGTAAGACTGTAAAACTCCATATAAATCCGGCCTCCTATGTGACATTACAGGCATCTCCTCTCGGATTTTCCGTAGGTGATTCAAATTGATTTCAGCAAAACAGACGTCCACTCCATCACTGCACTGGGCTACAACAGTGCCCCAAGGATCAATAACCTATGAGTGACAAGAATTAATTGGGAAACTCCCTGGTATTCAATATTGTAACAAATTTGGTATTTTCCAAGCATTTTCCAGATGATAAATGTAAACTATAACTTTAAGTTAACTGGTAAATATGGCTCAGCTGAAATTAGTAAAAAACTTGATGGACAAAGCCCATACTACTTACCATGGAATGACCATAAGATGACCGCTTGTTGTTGTGTTTCCCGGTCTGGGCTGCTGCCACAACATAACACTGGGTCTCTATTGCACGACTCCGAAGCAACACCTAATGAAAGAAATGTTAATAACATACTGATATATTTTAACTTTATATCTTTTCTGACTTGCAATTTAACCCTTTGTTCAATATTATTTCTCTTTCTTCACAATCTACAAATCACCTGTTTAACTTAATTATTTTATAGCCTTTAATTTTTACAAATGGGATCAGACAGAGTCCCTCTTCACTACGTTCAATGTCTATTCTGGTATTTATTATGAATAGTCAGCTTACACACCTCCCAGTGGGCCATTCCAGTGGTCACTGTGAAGGCGGAGGGAAAGGTCAAGATGTCCGCTCCCTGCTGGGCTAAAACTAATGACAACTCAGGAAACCTCAAGTCATAACACTGACAGTTAAGGATTATCAGATTTTGGTATGAATTCATAAAAATTCTTTTATAAGTATTGTTTGAAAAAGTAAATACATATTTGTTTAAGAAGATGGTTACTTTAAACTGAATACCAGTTATTGGAAAAGCAGTGGAATGAGCTCACTTTATATAACTACTGATACACAAACTTTTTAGATCTTTTTTAAAGGATACAATTTCCATGCCAACATTTCCTACAGGTGTTTTTACAGGGGGAGTAACTCCTTTCCCCGGAATGGTATAATCACTCTCACACAGTCTGACACGACCCACTAGGTCAAGGTCAAACAAGTGTGTCTTACTATAAGTGTCCTTGATTTGACCTTGACTGTCAATTATCACATGTGTATTTAAAACCCTGCTATCCTTTTCTTCCTTGCTCTAAAGACATTTTCAAAGAAAACCATTATAGCAACTATGATTTGTCAATAAAATGACAAAATCAAGGGTTTCTATATTGAAATACTTATCTAACTTTTATCAGCAATGCTCTTTTTAAATTGAATTATCTGGATAAAATAGGTATTAAATAAAGCTCTAACATGACCCTACCCTCTGGTGAAATCCCCCCAAAGACAGCCAGATTGACTCCTCCCTGGCGAGGTCTCTGTATCGGGATATGGTTTCCCCCTCCAAAGTTTCCGCCAACTCAATGCTCTGAGATTTAGTCTCCCCAATGTAATCTGCAGCTTCAGGCAGGAAAATCATCTGAGAAAAGAAACTGAATTTACAAAATTTTCATTCCTCTTACTTCATATCATCAATTTTTAATTTTCTTTATTGTAGGTGAAAAAAATTAAAACTCTGATAGTTATATTTTCTAGAGAATATTCTTGGATTCAAGATGTCAAAGTTTCAGACTAAAAATTGTAATAAATTCTGAGCTATATAGTTACTATACAGATTGTATTTTTAGTTCTTAGCATATGGGTGTAAAATATATAGATGTTCTGAGTCAGATGTTATGTTTACACCTTCTGAAGTTCATGTCTGTGTATAATGAGAATCCCTCTTCAAGGGTTCCCCATTTTTTGAAATTTTCTGAAGCTTTAACAAAATTATATTCATAGCACATTTTAACTTATATGACATAAGTTAAATAGCACATTTTAACTTATTTGACATAAGTTAAGATATTTCAATAAGTTCACTCAAAAAATTGTAAATTTTACTCATAAATATTGCATGCCTTCACACTTAAAAATCAAGATGAAAAAAGAATACTGTAGATGTACTTTTTCAACGGGATCATAATTCCGTGGAATCTCAATTTCTGTTTAATCCGCAGGTTGAAAATTATGCAGATTTCTTCAACTGTCATTATATGCCCTTCATTTGTTAAGTGCGCTTGGACAAATTTCCGCGGAAAATACATAGCATTAATTAATACCACACGGAAAAAAGTACTTTTATAGTAGTTCTTAGATTGTCTATATTGAAGTATACCGTATACTTGCCTTTGCTCCTCTGCTTGAAGCCCTTTTAATCAGTGATTCTGCCATCTGGAAATTTTGTTTTTTGTCTGCTGTACATGTCAGCTGACATACACCGATTAGAGGGTTTCCTGATTCTGACTGACTAGAACTAAAAGACATCTTGCACAACTGTTTTCTTCTCTTATAGTGATGGACCTGTCGCCGAAGAACTTTGGGTAGAAGGTTGGATAACATTTAGGTAAAATGTTTGAAACCAATTAATCTGAAAAATCAAGGTTAGTTATATATGTTAAGTGAAGCAGAATTTCAATCAGCAAACGATTTCTATAAACCTCTAATATTTTTTTAGGCTAAAACGATTTCTATAAACCTCTAATACTTTTTTTAGGCTAATATGGTTTACCATTGTTTATTCTACGATTTCATGACAATCAATGTCATGAAGCAAAATATGAAACATATTTTTCTGTATTAATTTAAAACAACTTACTTGGTCTCCAGTGTCATATCCTTGCTAAATTGAGAGTTAAAATGATCATTTCATGTATCCTTGTTTGGTTTCGTGCTACTTTTTATACTGGAAACGACTCTATAACACTAAATTTAAAATCTGACTGACACGAACTTCCAAAATCCGGTGTACCAGTGAAAACTGTCGCTAGTGCTCAGTGTCGCTCTGAAAAAAGCGGTAGCCGTGCAATTCGACACTCGTATAATTAGACCCAGAAAAAGTTGTAATCGCCTTATATAGACGCAATTAGTGTTTAAAATGAAGTAAAATCGAAGTAATAAAGTTCCAAGACTGTTAAAGAATTCTGGTTTTTTGAATATTTTCAGCAAAATCTTGAAAAATAAGTGTTTGACATTCGACGCTATTGCATCGCGATCGGCATCTGATCTGGGCTTTCGTGTGATACTTCATCTCTAAAATTACATAAGAAGAAGTGCAATATATGACTAATTTAATTAGATATTTATTAATTGACTGAAAAAAACTATTTGGGAAAAGAAAGCGACAGCAGAAGTTTACTATAAACTGTTTAATATTTTTAAACATCGAGATCGGCATCCAACTTAATCAGCTGTTCGCACTCGAGAGAACAAATTATGATTAGTAAACTCACAATCAAAACCGATCTATTGTAAGTAAGACAGTATTTTAACAAGATAAAATAAAAATAATTATCGTTTGTTTTGCCGATAAATGTAATGTTAGACACAAGTAAGGTTAAATTATAGTCTCGCCACTTGCCACCAGTATAGAAGAAATCCAGTCAAACCGTTCCCAATGAAAACCGCCCCGGTCAAAGCGTTCCAAGATTTTGGTCAAAGCGTACCATGATTTTGGTCAAAATGTCCCCAGATTTTGGTCAATGCGCCCCCTGACATATTTTTTAGAAATATGATACTACAAAACCGCCCCCTGATTTTGGTCAAAGCGTCCCCTGATTTTGGTCAAACCGTCCCCTAATTTTGGTCAAACCGTCCCCTGACATATTTTGATAGGAAAACGTAGTTTCTAAACCGCCCCCTGATTTTGGTCAATGCGCCCCCTGATTTTAGTCATTGCGCCCCCTGATTTTGGTCAAAGCGCCCCCTGACATATATTTTGATAGAAAAACGTATTTTCTAAACCACCCCCTGTTTTTGGTCAAAGCGCCCCCTGACATATTTTGATAGAAAAACATAGTTTCTAAACCGCCCCCAGTCAAAATTTGTGTGAAAAAAAAATGATGTTATTAAATTGGAAGGGTGGGGGGGGGGGTCATGCAGTACTTCCGAAGTATTTCAAGGTCAATTAAATATACGTACATTTGCTACTTTGAACTTAAATTGTGTCCCCTAGGTGTCAATAACATCTGATAACTTTTATGCGGTCTAAAATACGCCTGCCGACGCCTGCCAGGGGAAAATACGCCTGCCGAGAAAATCTATATGCCTGCCTTGTTATTTATTGACTAAAGTTAATTTTATTACATATATTAATTTAATAGACTATTTACTTAATGTTTTACCAAACAAAAATAATTTAAAAAGCACATGTCCGATGCTTTATTCGTTTTATAATTTGCTTCCGTCTTAGAGCACGCCTGCCGAGAAAATCTACACGCCCGCGGTGTTGTTTCTTTTATTATCATGTACTATTTTTAAAACACTATATGACTTTAATAGATTATTTGGTTGTCATTTAATTAATTATAAACAAATGAAAAAAAAAGAAAAAATGTTTGAAAATTATTTATAAAAATCTACACACGAGATTTGCAGTAAATAAATATTAAAGGAGATATCTCCTATACTTTACAATATTTTATATTCCTTATATTTTCTGTTCGTCAAAGAAGATACTTACTTAAGTAAATACTTACTTTTATAAACATTGAAGATGATGTATGTAAAACAAATTAATTAAATAAAGAAATGTTTTTATGAATTTTAAAACTAGATATGTCCAATACCCGAATCTTAGACAAGAAAGAAATAACCACGGAAACCATTCATGAAGATCATGTAAATTGATTCATGATATACAGATTGTGCAACCATTATAACAATTTCTACAATACTAACCATTTTAACAATTTCTACAATACTGAACTGAAAAAAAAAATTATTTGCAGGTCTGGAGCGTAAATAGTTTGTGTGGTATGTTGTATACATGTAAATTGACGATCTTTTCAATAGTTTGATAAACATGCATTTGTATTAAATTCGGAATTTCCTTCATCCATATTTTCTTAAAATTCATTTATTTAATCAGATATGTAAATATTTTTCTAATTCTGATTTTGTGGCTCTGGTTCATGATATCCCACCTTGGAGTGTGTATAGCGCACGTGCCAATCTTCTCACTTGTCATGTACCTAATTATGTAATACTACATAATATTACGCACAGGTAGGGTATACAGGAAGATCGATCATTAAGTTTCATTGAGATTTGAAGTCCGTGTATACACAGTAAACATGAATTCAGACATTCATATCATTGTAAACAAATTTTAACAATAATGAATTTTGATAGAACAATAATATACCGTATATAGCGAGAATATTTGGAACTTTCGATGGATTATTTTCTCTCTAATTGAAATAAATAAATAAAATAGATTACTTTCATCACTTTTCTTAAATCATCGAGTTCTTGCCTAGACTAAGATATTGTGAAACTTTGAAATGTTAATTAAGATAAAAAAAACTAATGTGTTTTATATTTTGAAAAGTAACTTATTAAAAGTTTTGTTTATTTCCATGACAGCCAAGATCGCTTATACATGTTGCATACATGGTATAAACACATCATGCTTTCAGTAAATTTTACTCTACAGACTATTCTTTGACGTTATATCTCAAATAATGATAAAATAAAACCCCATACCGAATTACTAGGTATGGGTTTCCAAGTTTGTTTGTTTGTTTGTTTTTTTTTTTTTTTCGAGATGTGTGGAACATCAAGTGCCTGCATGTCTTATTTGTTTTTTCTTTAGAATTTGATTTACCTTATCTTCCTTTTCTCTAAATGAATGAAAAGGAATGATTTTGAACATACAGGTATAAACGATATTATAAGTACACATGCCATTTACATGCTGATTTTCTTACTCATTTCGTTTATTTCCTTCGCTGCTTGATGTATACATGGATGTGTAGGAATAGTTAAAATAATACCATTTCTCTTACCTGTAAAATTTTGTATTTATTTTTATAACTTTGTTGCATATAATAAGTTAATATAACCTGAAAATCAGAAATAATAATTATTTCATTGATGTTTAAAAAGTTTAACATTTATATTTCAGATTCTGATTCAAAACAACTACGGTAACCCGTAAATCGCAAAGTTTTTACTGCATATGTTCTCCTGAGTCATTGTAAATTCTACAGATAAATACGAAACCAATAATATTTTTCTTAAAAAAAAAAGAAAGAAAAAAAAAACATGATGTCTATGGTCTTCACACAGCAGTTCCTGAGTAAGATTTATCTCCTTTAATACTATATACTCTTGTATCAAACACTAAATGAATAAAATATATATTTAATTTTTTTTTATTAATTTTTTGTCAAATATTAACCAAATACTTTTGCAAAGTAACATTTCAAATATTGTAATGAGAAATTAGAGAAACAACGCCGCAGGCGTTAGATTTTTCGTCAGGCATGCTCCACGCCGTATGCAAACTTTAAAACGATTAAAAACCCCATTCTGTGCTTTTAACATTATTGTTGTTTCCTAAAACATTAACTACAGGGTCTAAAAAAGTAATATATCTAACAAAAACCAAATTAATTCCATTAATAACACGGCAGGCGTATACATTTTCTCGGCATGCGTATTTTCCCCAGGCAGGCGTCGGCAGGCGTATTTTAGTGTTACCCACTTTTATAAGCTTGATTAGAAATGTTTCCTTGATCGTATCCACCGTGTTTATAGATTTATCCTTATATCTATACACCTGTAAGGTTGAAAAGAAAGTTACAGATTATAAAAATGTGTATGTGAGCATCAACATTTATTTTAAAAATGAGCTATCATATTTTGACTCGGAGACGTCAGGAAAAAATATACATAATTATAACAGCAAATTCCGTTTAAAAATCGATTTGGAGGCGCTTTGAAAATTTGGGGTGGTATTCAAACATAAATTTTCTATAGGGAACGCTTTGACCAAACTTCAAACGTTGTTTTTGTATTAAAAATTGTCAGGGGGCGCTTTGACCAAAATTTGGGGACGCATTGACCAATATTTGGGGGCGCGCTTTGACCAAAATCAGGGGGTGCTTTGACCAATATTTGGGGGCGCTTTGGAAACTTCGTTTTTCTATAAAAATATGTCAGGGGGCGCTTTAACCAAAATTTGGGGACGCATTGACCAATATTTGGGGACGCTTTGGAAACTTCGTTTTTCTATAAAAATATGTCAGGGGGCGCTTTGACCAATATTTGGGGGCGCTTTGACCAAACTTCAAACGTTGTTTTTCTATAAAAATATGTCAGGGGGCGCTTTGACCAAAATTTGGGGACGCATTGACCAATATTTGGGGGCGCGCTTTGACCAAAATTTGGGGACGCATTGACCAATATTTGGGGCAATTTGGAAACTTCGTTTTTCTATAAAAATATGTCAGGGGGCGCTTTGACCACAATCAGGGGGCGCTTTGACCAAAATTTGGGGGCGCTTTGACCAAACCTCAAACGTTGTTTTTCTATTAAAAAATATGTCAGGGGGCGCTTTGACCAAAATCAGGGGCGCTTCGACCAATATTTGGGGGCGCTTTGGAAACTTCCTTTTTCTATAAAAATATGTCAGGAGGCGCTTTGACCAAAATCAGGGGACGCTTTGACCAAAATCAGGGGGCGGTTTCGTAGTATCATATTTCTATAAAATATGTCAGGGGGCGCTTTGACCAAAATCTGGGGACATTTTGACCAAAATCATGGTACGCTTTGACCAAAATCTGGGAACGCTTTGACCGGGACGGTTTTAATTGGGAACGCTTTGACTGGCTCCCGTATAGAATACTTCAAATAAAGTTGTGACGCGAATT